CCCCAGCCCCCATGCCCCTTCCTCCCCCAACAGACTTACCAGCTGGTCACCACTCTCCAAGCTGCCCAGCTGCATTCCTGGCCGCATGCATGCTGTGTCTGTGCGCATGCACGCAGCATTTATTGGCGACATTACTGGCTACACCAGCCAACAAAAGCCAATTGCTGATCACGTCGATTTTCCTTTTATCGGTGCCGATTTGTTATGGACCAACATATCGGAACACCTCTACAGGATAGGACCATTTGCATCTCATATCCTGCTTCCAGCAGTGACCAAAGCACTTGTATTGGGGTGCTGGATGGAACGCCCAAAGGCCCTAACTGATCTGTGTCTGGTATCAACACATACTTCAGACAAACACTAGTAAAAATCAAAAAACATTTGGACTTTTGTAAAGTCTTAGTGCACAGAAGTCCATGGGCACTTGTTATCTTGTCAAATGATGTCAAGCCAAAGACTTCCCAATCCTTTCCCACCCCCACAATTTGCAGTCACTTCTCCCATACCCCCAATTCATACGTGCCATGCTCTTCCTTTACCCCAAAGTCCTCCCATACAGACCTATGCCAAGCAGTCTGGAGTATGCTATGACAACGTGACGTTGCATAGATCCAATGATGGATGCTACACGGTTGCAGGGCAGTCACGCAGAATTTAAGGAGTTAAGTCACAAGGTTTCCTTGTGAGGCCCCATTAAGCAATACAAGTGAGTCCTGTGTAAAAGGATTTTTAATTCATCGTTACAAGTGCTGGTAATGAAGAGGATGCATGCTGGAAATGTCAGACAATCCATAAAGAGCCAGTGCTGCAGGATTTATCACCCTCGCATCACATTGCTCCATCACTCCACCTGAATAATGAATGCTTTTTACATTCACATTTGTGTACGAAACCCATTTGCACAATAGAGGAATAACTCTCAAAGCCGAGAGAGATTCTTCCTAATCTCCCATCCAGGACTTGGCTTGGCTGCCTGCACTAAATAGCAGCACAGTTAACAAATACATCAACACTACCCAATACATCAATGCTTACCTCACCTTCCCCCACCACGTTCCTCTCCCGACATCCCAAAACCAATTCCTGCACTACAGAAAGCCAAAAGCACAATTTACTAGCAAATGCACCTATACTGACAGGGCATTAAGAACCAGCTAGAGGAATCCAGCGCCCTGATCAATCACCCCCTGGTGATCCCCAAAATGAAGCACTGCAGCCTCCCTGGAATAGGGCTAGACCATATGCCGCTAGCTAGAATTCTGCTAGCATCTTTCCCACAGATTTCCTCGCGACAGAGAGGACCTCCAGGAGGCAGTGCATTGAGTGTGTACATGGGAAAGCATTCCCAATGGACAAAGTGAAACCTCTGAAATAAGAGTAGAACCTCTCAGATATGTCCAAAGGTTGCTGCATCCTGGGGCAATTAACGGATAAATACATTGAGGACACCTCCTCCCACCCTGGCTGCTTTGGACTCCTAGACAAAACCAAGCCCTGCTCTCACTCCAACAACACCCAGGAGAAGACACCTACCAGTTTCCACCTCTGCTCTGGAATAGCACTGATGTCCACAGGATGGCGTTCTATTACATTGAGAAAATGGGCCTCTGGGACAGCGATAGCACAGATTATATGGACCCACCTGGAAATAAATGAGAGAAATCAGAAACTACCCTATTTGGATTTTCAGAATTTTTGTGGTGTATTCATGGAGTGTGTAAACTCTAGGGGGCAGTTGACATTTCTCCCATTGTTCCTTCCATAGTGTCTGGACATATTTATGGGGGTTGGCAGCACTGGTAATATTCCCATCTGGTTATTAATGGAGTGACACAAGATAAAGGGCTCTAGAACAACTGCAATCAGCTGTCTTCATTAGGCAGCTGATCTTGCATGATGCTGAGCTCTCCTTGAAAAGCGCTTCCTTTGAGAACAAGGGAATTCCAAGGTGTTCTGTGCCTTGGAGAGAAGAGACAGGAGGGCGGGTAGCAGAGACTTCCAATCTCGTCCTGCCCATTATCTAGAGCGCAACGGCAAGCGCGGCCAAACCTAGATGTCACACACTTGGGCATCCTCACCAGCCCCTCATAAAACAATCAGATGACTCGTGCTAGTGGCTGCTATCAGTGCCCGAGTATATGTACAAGGCATCCTACATGGCACCTACCGTCCATCAGTGGTCATCTGAAGAGCTCCACCCCTGAGATTACATAGACAGCAATCCTGGAACAGGAAAAACAAAGATCAAAAACATCCAAGGAGCACCCTGAAACCTCTACCCTTCCCTCAGAGATTTACTATACTGGTACAACAAGGTACAGGACATTTTTTTGCCATCGTTCCCTCCCGTATCTATGCTTCCTGTTAATTCCTCCCCCGACAACGTCCCTTTTCAGTCTCCCCTAGAGTGGATGCTTACCGCTGCCCATGCATTGGCTGAGCACCGTGAACAAGACCAACTTTCATTCACCAGATCTGGACGTATTCCATAACAGCCTGAAAGAAAATCAAAGCACAGGCCTCAGGACCTCTGGAGCAAGCCTCCATCGTAGGGAGGAGCCAACTCTGGGGAAGGGCAACTGAGACCGGCGAGCACTAATGAAAGCGCAGGAAATCCATATTCCTCCAACAGCCAGAACTGTAATAGCCTGGTGGTCCAGTCAAGTGACGGGTATCAAAAGTGAAATGCCTGTTCTTGCAGTCATTGGAGGTGTCCAAAGGGTTAAGGACAATAAAACTGGTGTTACCATGAGTGGCTGAGCAGGATCTTAAGTGGGTGAATGAATGCAAAATGATCCAGCAGTGGGGAACTGAACACTGTGCAATTACCGCTGCCCACTGAATCTGACACTATTTAAAGCACCAGGGCAAAATTCCAGGTTGGCTGCAGTATTCGTTCCATCTACCTTAAGTATTTTTATGACCTCCGTAACTGTTATATTTGAGCAGTTAAGAATTTTAATGTATTTACTCTCAATACCCCTGCAAGGCTTGGCAGAGTGGTTTTACACAGGGGGGACCAAAACACAGAGACCAAGCACTACATTTATTAATCCATTTAGGCACCTGATCACTGCCAATTTCAATGGAAGGGAGGCACCAAATCTGAACCTGCAGCTTGCCCAAAGTCTGTATCACAGCAGGGATTGCGCCTGGCCTGTCTGTCTCAGGGTAGTGCCCTAGCCCCTCTACCATCCTTCCTACCGACCCAAACCCTATTAAGAAATTTGCATCTCAGCATGCCCCGGGGTTGAAAACGCACTGTCAGCCAAACAAGGGAAGCATTTTTCCAGTACGCACAGCAATAGTATATGGTAAGCCAATCATTCTGATAAACTCAAAGAAAAATATTCAGGTATCAGCAAGGTTGCCACAGTACCTGCCTCTATGAAAAGTAGCTACTTAACCCAGATAAATATAATCTCTGAAAAGTCAATAATATAGACCTATACTTGCCTCCTGCAATTGAAGTTTCTTTCCATCATATGACAGGTCAGGACAGCAGATCCAATCCAGACCTGGCACAGGAACTGGGTGATGGGATTTGGAAACCTGATCTCAAAATTGGCTTGAAATGGAAACTGACACCTTTAACTGAAATATTTATGGAGCCCAAAGCCGTGTGGAACAGACTGTGAAATTTCAGCATTGATTTCTTGCTTCAAGACTACAGGTGAGGGACCCCTGGACTTAAAGCAGAGGGAGGGGGATCTCTTGAAGGAACACAGAGGGAAATACAGAAATACAAGGGGCCAGGAAGAGATAAATTATGCAGAGGCAGGTATTTGATATTCATGTTTGTTTTCTGAGGATAAATTAAATCTTGCTTATTGAGAGCTGCAGGAAAAAAAAAGAAAAAAAACATGACTCAAGAGCTGCTTAGACTGAATTTTAACCTTTAAGTGGCCTCTTAGGAAGATCTGGACAACTCTGTTATTCGGGAACTAAGGGTCTTCTGCACGTCTCTAGGAGGTGAAGAGCTGTGCAATTCCAGATAAGAGAGACTAAACGCCAAAGCCAGTTAAGCCAAGTACTTCCATACCTGCAGAAGTTGAGCACCTCAGTATGTTACTCAGTCCCCCTGGGAAGTGCAACAGGGCCAGCATTCCCATTTTACACATGGGGAACCAAGGCAGAGAGGGATGAAAAGCCTGATTTTTAAAAGTATTTAGGCACAGAGCTCCCATTCCCATTGGAGAAATACGGCGTGCAGAGACAGCCAGGCAAGAGAAGAGATGCTTTGTGCACCGACTTGGAACAGAGACCGACAGAAACCCAGCATAATTAGAGCAATGAACCCAGCATATGGGATCTGTCAGCACCTCAAGAGCTTAAAACCTTAGCAGAGGGTAAGTGCTCTGCTCCCCGTGTCCTCACTGTTGTCTCAGCCTGTCACGCAGCCAGGTGAGGCACCTCCAACAAGTAGACTGCTAAGCAGTTTCGCAGCACGCTGCCATCCCGGCTGAAACAAGCCTGGACGCTGTCGTTCCATGATACAGAGCGAGCAAACTTGTCTCACTGCAGCAAAGTCGAACAGATACTGCAGTCTACGAGCGCGGACAGACAGTGACAAGGAGACAAGCAGGCACCCGGGACCTTATTAGTCTAGAGCGCAGCAGCTAGACCCAAGCCTCATGGGCTCCGCATACCTAAATCTGTGCCGCAGAAAACACCAGGCTCGGTCTCGGACTGCAGATTAGCACTGCTCTGTTTATAGCCACCTCTCTCAGAAGTTGGGCTTCTGGGACTGTTTTGATGTGCAACTCTACTGGAGACGGGCGCACGGACCAGATAAAGAAGACAGACGTTGCAACGATCACTACCTCCAAGATGGGACAACCACCTCTGGACTCGCGCTCACCCCGCACCGTTATTACCCCCTGTGAGCTGGAAGCAAGTCCCTCGCAGGTACAACTGACAACCCGAATCTCTATTCTAATTCTAGTTCTCTATGGGAGATGTTTGTATCGAATTGCCTGGCGACCCCTGGTCTAGAAAGCTACGGTCGTAAAAGTAATTTCAGCCAATGTGAACCAAGTCAGACTTTCCATCTGCCCAGGTCAAACTGTCATCTGTCGCACCTCCAAATACTAGCGTGGAAATCAGCCCGAGGCTGTAGAATACAAAATACTCCTGACACTGAGCAGCACCTGCCATCAGAAACCCTCTTTTATATATCTATACGGTCCCTTGATTGTAGGCATAACAATCAAGGGAACGTAGAGACATATATGCCTCTTTTGTGATAAAGCACCATTTCTATATGGAGCAGTGCAGATACTAAAAAGAGGCATCTCAAAATTGCTCCCTGGTCTCAGGTTGCTCACAAGAACAAGTCAGGACTCACCCAGAAGATCAACACCTGGACAAGTCAAAGGACCATAAATCGACTCACTTTGCATTTGCTGGTTTTCCTGCTATAGTGAAAACAAATGGTAACTTATGCACAGAGGCCCAAGCAAGCGATATGGGAAGATAACTGTAACTAAGGTCCCCCCAGAAACAGGCTTTGCTCAAAGATGCCTGCTTTCAACTTCACTTTTTTTCTAACAGGATGTAATTAGAAACCACCACATTTAAATGGAAAACTAATTAGAAGCAACTCCAGCCTGAATCCCCACACACATGATGTACAGCCAATGCATTCATGCTCCACTCTTTGCGGCAGGAACATGGGAGACAAAATTCTTAATGGACTTTTTATTCCTTTTTCTTTGTTCTAGCCCCCTTTTAGCTCTACTGGAATCGTTGGCACCGGTACTCTTTTTAACCACAGGAAAAGACTCATTTGTCTGCCCCAGCTGTGCAATCACTCAATGAAGATGGGCAGTTGTTATCAGAGAATTCTCTTATGGAAGTATGAGAGGGTAAAACCGGCACGAGGCCAGGAGTCATTAAATTACACAGTGCAAGTGAGCAAAAGAGAGGTACGTAATGAACCATGGCTCTGATCTCTGCTGTCTCAGTGAGGAGACATTAAGCTCCCAAAATAAAAATCTCCAAATGATGGTTCATCATCTTAATTGCAGAGGGAGAACTCTGGATCCTGGATCTCATCTTACTCACAGCAAACGGTGGCAATATCCTGTTTCATCAGTGCGGGGAGACTGTGTGACAGTTTGGGGGAAGAAAGGGGGCAGCAAGGCTAACCATTTGCACAGCTCCATTTTAATTATTTAGTTTGGTGGCTGGGCCAAAAAAAAGAGTATTGGCTTGGTGCATTACAAAAGCCTCTCTTATCAAAACCTGTTTAAATTAAATTTAGCTAGATTTGATCTTGAAATGTTGCCAAAGCTCTTAGACTATATCAAACTTTTTTTTTAAATCCTCCCCAACCCCACCCATTTTGTTATGCTGAAACTATTCACCCAATTCAACTTAAATCCATGAATAGCTGTGGTTGGCCTGAAGCCATTTTAGGCTTTTGATTTAAATAACTTCACCCAGCTCTACTTCCAACACAGGTTGTCCCTTAAATACTCCAGGCAGTTCCCCTGCGAGGCCTGGGAGAATGAGCAGGGATGGCACAAGTTTGGGGAGAGGTATTTAAGAAGTTTTCCATCCCCAAGAAACACTCCAGAAGCCAAATTACCATTCTGTTCATGCAGAAGGCTCCAAGAATACCAGCCTGTAATAGATGTGTCAAAAGGAGAAAAGTACCCAATAAAATAATGGACTCTCCCTCGAATAGATACTGTCGCAACAGGAGCCCAATCTATAGCTGAAAACATGTGAGGCGACGATCTGCTGGAGGTCCAGCAGCTACTGAATATTGCCCTTGGGTTTGTTAACAGGGGACACTGAGTCAAGTCTAGAAATGGAAGCTTACTCACTGCAGGACGTGCATCTGCTTGCTCTTCCTCAGCTGTTTCTCCTGGGCTGCTTTTAATCAGCACCATGGCTACCCTTCCAATCATACAAGCTAAGGGTTTCTACTCCATGTCCCCTTCTACCTTGTGCATTTAAGGTTGCGTTGCTGTATTTCTCTGCCTTTCATGCCCCCAGGCTCTCACCTGGGGCTCAGAGAGAAAGCCTAGCCAATGGGAATTAGAGGGCAGATGTATGTATGAGAAGGAGCTTCCACTAGAGAGAAGCTGACCCCTGCCAACCAGGAAAGAAAATTAATTCAAGGGAGAGCAGAATATAAAGCAAATATACAGCTTGCTACACAGATGTAGCAGACCCAGGAATGTAATGAAGGAAAACATGAAGAAATATTAGTGCAGGAACAGGAAAAACCAGGAGTTATGAGCATTGCAAGCAAGCCCAGAGAGTCCAGACAAGCAACATACAGCTAAAGCAGCTTTGACTACCCAGCTCCCATAGTGAAGTAGAGGCACACTCACTAGCATGGACCTGCAGGCAGCACTTGGCACAGGATATTAAGAGGCTGGTTCCATCTTCACCAATGTAGGAGTTTGAAGGAAGGGGTTCTGTGTTTTCACCACTTGAAGTAAAGCACATCTCAGGAATCAGAGGCTTGGTCTTCTGGCCACACTTGGAAAGCTGGAGCAGGGAGGGGCTCTCTCCTACAGAGACCTGGATAGCCTCTTTATCCACCTGCAAAGACTAAGAGAAAAAGAAAGTGTTGCCCAGTGTCTCCCCTTTGCCTAACCACCAACTGGTCTGACCTCAAGATGAGAGACCCCCGCCTTTGCGAAAAACAATATCAATGCTTGCTGGGTAACACCGTTTGAAACCCTGCAGCACTTGTAAGAACCCAGAGCTCCAGTTAAGCAAATAGGGAACCTTGTCACTCCCCCTCCATGCCAACCAGACATGCCCAGAGATTTGCGATTTGGTTTGAAAGCTCAGGAAATTATTAAAATAACAAGCTGCGTTCACTATTTTTATTTTGTAGACATATAAGCACAAAACCAAATCCCCAAATGTTGCAGCTGAAAAATATCCCTCGCCCCTCCCAGACTAAAAGCAAGATCTCCCTCCCCCATCTCCAGGCCCTTGGCATCATTCCCTTGCTCTTTCAGCAAGATTTTCTCCAGAAGGGCATTTCAAGGTTTCTGGTAGCAAGCTGGAGTTAAAAGACAATGGATTAAAACAGCCCAGCTGTACCCACCTCTCCTTACAATCCATTATACAGCCGCATCCAGGCAATCCTGGAGAGATACTTTATTCTGATGATGGAAAATAAATCAGGGCTCTTTTTTAATTCATTCACACACACATCTGCGCACAAACACACACCCCTAGTGAACCCAGAGAGCTATATCTGGATACAGGTGCATGAGATTGCTAATGCAGGGCTGAAGTGGCACAGAGCTGGACAAGTAATTATATCATCTCATAAATATCCTCCTCCTGCTCATGGGATACACCTGGGGGCAAAATGAGAATGCCCCGAAGTTGTTGTTCAAATGTTGTGGATACAGTGTCACTCAGTGGGGGTGACAGTTGTGGGGAACAAGAAGTTGGGGGTAATAAGAAGTTCAGCTGTGGTGTTTCCATAATGCTATTTTGAAATTTGCTCGAGGTCAACCGCTCAAGCACCGAGGGACAGCAGCTCACGTGAGGGCGAATGCGGCTGCAGCCCTTGAACAACAGCTACACTAAAGTAATATTTAAAAACAATTCATCCAACTCTTCCAGGACAGCAAGAGGCCTGACTTGATTTTTTTAGTCTCAGGATTTTAAAACAAAGGCAGCAGACAGCTTATCTTTGAGTAGCAGTCCTTGGAGGAAAGAGGTTATATACAAGTAACTGGAGAAGTTCAAAGAGGTACATTTAATGCAAGTAAAAGCCTCTTGCAAATCCTAGTCTTTCTGCACACCTTTTGGAGTGTGCATTGCTAAAACTATGCAGCTGTGTACAAACTCATACAAGACCTACATGAGACTACCTGTGCAATGCCGCTGCCGTCTTGTATACGGTGCTGTCTCTGGTGTACATGAAAGCCCAGCAGTGTAATGCAGATTAATATATGGCTCCATAAATCACCACGCAGCCTAAATGCGTCAGTGCATCACCTCTGTTTTCCAATCCCTTTGAAACACCCAGCGTCAGTGTTTACACCAAGAAGCACCAGATACATTCAATTATAGGGACCAGATAGGAAGTGTATGAAAGAATTTACATTGAGAGTGGAAAGCTCTAAAAAATTTGGGGTGCCTTCCTGTCCTAGGTACTTATTTATACAGCTGTTGCACAATTAGATTGGGTTCCCTTTGTTTTGACAGGCAACTACCATAGCCAAGAAAATTTAAATCTATAACTGAAGTTCTCAAAAGTTTAAAACCCAGAAGTATTTTTTGGCAACTGAGGAAGGGTAGATGTGCCCAGCAAACGCATCAAGGTATTATCACTTATTTACTCAAATGATTGGAAAATTAAATGCAAGTCACACACACACACACACACACACACACTTATATTAGCATCTCCTTTCTGGTGCCCTGTGTAATGCACCCTGTATTACATTAAACCTAGGCTCCAATGCACACATTTCTAAAACAAAGACCAACACTTTTACTCTTGATAGCATAACCAAAGTGTGACAGCTGCCTATAGCAGCCTGGAAAAAAAGGGAGAATGCTGTAGTATATATTAACAGTTCAGTAGCTTTTAACTTAGTCTCTTCTTGGGCACTCTGCAACCACTCTCAGTCAGCATCTTGTGGTAGTAACTCACCTCTCTAGTTTCAAACAACTGAGATTAAAGGCAGAACTGGAATACAGGCATTGGGGAGAGATCCAGGCAAAATCTTCATCCCATCAGATAGCATGCACCAGTAATAATGGAGGTTACATTGCTTTGGGATCCCTGATTCGTGCCTACTCAGCTGGAGAAGCTGTCGATCTCCAAGCATTGGTAGAGAAGTGGAAGGAGGAAGAAGAGGATATCAGCCAGCTTTTGGGGGTTGTTTGAAGCAAAAGGTGAACACAGGCACAATCGCAAAGTCTTTGAATACACAAATCAATAATACATCTCAGCTTCACGTCTCCTGTCAGAGGATCTCTGAAAGCTTTGCACGTGAACTTTCAAGTCATTCCTCTGACATAAGCAGCCTTGCCATTTTGCAAATAATGGAGCCAAAGCAGAGATTAAATGATGTTCTGAAGGTCACATGGGAAGTCTGTGGCAGAGCAGAACAAGCCCCATCTGAGCTTGGCCAAATATGCCCGGCGCATGAAGTTTCTGCTGTACTGAAGTTAAATGAAAAATTAATGCCAGGAAAGATGAAAAGCCAAAGGTTCTTCCCATTTTTTCTGCTGGATCCTGATACGCCTCTTCAGCCTGCAAACCTGGGGTTCTTGTCTGTTATCTATCACAATAAAGGGCTGAATCATAATACCGATGCTTTCTTTAGAGAAAGCAAACATAATAGTCTGATTAAAGTACCCACCATGCAGCCCCCTGCACTGACTCACCCATCCACAGCATCATCACAAATTACCTGGTTATATGGGTAGAAGAGTGTACAGACTGCACAATATGGCTCACTCAGGGCAGCAGCTGCATTGAATTTTCTCTCAGCTGGGAAATTATGTACTTTATTCTTCCACTGGAGGGAAAGTAAAGACTTCAAAGCCTCTGGGTCACTCACATCTTCCTCCCCAGAAAATGGAAATGTTTCTAGAGTAAAATGTGCAATGGGAAGACTCGTCAGTACAGACAAATAAAAAGCAGCAAGAGAGTGCAAAACAAATGCACTCCAGTGATACTCGGGAGAAGCAGAATAAAGAAGAACACTTAACTCTTCTATGGCACTTGTCATCTATAGGACTCAAAGCATTTTATAAATACATCTTTCAGCTCCATTTTAACAAGGCTGAGGAACAGCAATTGGCCTATCAAAAAGGGAAGAGGCAAGCTCTCATCCCAGTGCCGTTGCCACTGGGTGATATGGTTTCCTCAATTTAAGTCAAAGTCAAGATGATTCATACAGACCCAAGGAAATCTCCTTTTTTCAAGTGATAACTTCAGCTTCCAAGGAGTCACTTATGTAGCACACTTGTTTAATACACCACCAAGAGGAGTCTCCTAGTCTCCAAGAAGGGTCATCCAGTCCCCATTGCAGAGGGTCAACTCTGCGCTCAGCCACCATCGCACAGTGCATGTCTTGCCTGCCAATACAGGCATCAAGTCTGCCTGCAAAGCAACCTCCGTCTGGGTTCTCCCTTACCCTTCTCTGCCACTATTCCCCATCTGCCTTCCAAGTGCTGTGCCTCAGCCCTACGTCTCCAACCATTTTTGCTTCCAGCAAAGGTCTATTAGGAAGCTGCTTATGCTGCTGTTTTGCTTTCACAAACTTCTGATCAGGGACTTGTGTTATACGATTCTCTGGGCACAGCATCCATCCATCCACACTACAGTTTTGTGGTCTAGTACCTAAGCAATTCAGCTTACTATTTCTGAATTGCTACAGACGTAGGAAAACTGTGTGTGTGAACTAAGCGTGACGTGATGGCAGTGCTGTTAGCGTGCAAAAACCCTCCAACACAGCAGCTCTGAGCAGCATAGGCTCCTATGTGTGCCGAGGGAAAGGAAACCCAGGAGCCTAATATAAAACTCACACAGCAGCATTGTGCATATTACTCCTGGTGATTATTTTAGCAGGAACATCTCACCGAGATGCTACTCCCGCAAGCCCATGCTGACTCTGTCCCCTTCCTCCATATGTGCTAAAGCCCCAAACGTGCCCTTCCTCCATGCCCAAACCTCCTTGTGACAGCTTCTATAAATCTGTTTGCAGAATAAGTAGCTGAGGCATGCTAGAAACCGAAGATTCAGGGTCAGAGTAAAATATTAATTTAATTTAACATTAAAATTAATACAGGGATAATACACTTGCTGTATTATTCATTTTCTGATTTAATTCCAATGAAGGCCTTTAAACAACACGCTGAATCTGCCTCAAGATCGCCAAGTCTACTGTACTGCAGTACCGCAAGACCCATGGAAACCTTCAGTACACTGTAGACCTAATCTAACCTCAGATATCTTGAGCCTCTGGCCACTTGCCCGTTTCATCCCATGGTGGAGATCCACCATGGTCTGCCCACTGTTCTGATGGTTTGGGGAACCTGTTCATGTAAAGCCAATTTAATTTGAAGTTCTGGATATGCCCTGTCTGCATCTTAATGTAAGCTCCACGTTGACCGTAAGGCTGCCCTTTGTCTCCCTACTCTCTTTTTATCTCCATCTGAGTCCTGTCGCATTAAGACCTCTCTCAGAGACGGAGCCACTGCAGATGACGGGCTACCTTCTAGCAAGAGAACTTATTCATCTGGGGAGAAGAGCTGCCTAGCCACTAAGGCACCTGGTAGAGGGTCACTGCTCACCTGCTGAGCCTGATTAGGAGGTAACATGGCAGAGGAGACAAGGGTTATAAAAGGGTAAGGGCTTTGGTTGTTCTCACCAGGTCAGAGGCAGCTGCCAAAGGAGCCTGATGGGGAGGGGTAAGTCCCATCTACCTGAATCCCAATGAACCTCCCCCCATCCCCAAGGGAAGGGTGAACTAGTGCTGTGCTGGGGACACCTGCTGTTTTCTAAATGATCCGTACACTCAGTCTTCTCACAGCCTGTCTACGTGCAAGTTTAATGAGCTACAGCATTCACATGCCATCGAAGAGGTAAACAGGAGACTTGAAGAGCCAGAGGGTGCTGGGACCGTGCATGCTCTACTGAGAAAGTTTGGTGGAGCTGGAAGTGGTCTCTGGGCCCAGTTACTTGGACCATCAAGAGGAACATCAGATGCACAGTATGCACCTGGACTGCCTGTCTCGAACCCCATGCCACGGCCAGTGCCTAACCCCCACCCAGCCTTAGCAAGCTAAGGGAATATGGCACTCGGGTGTTTGGATCCCCTCAGTTGTCTAGCGAACATCTAGCGGGGGGAGCTCCATTAGATCTATGGCAGCTGCTGTCCCAAGATTCTGGAAAATGCTGACTCTAGTATTCCTGGCATGTACCAATGCAGTATCCCCTCTCACAAAGGCTCCCAACTGCATTACCTGATGCAGGCCACAGGAATGACACAGCTGTAAAAGAAAGAAACCTCCTGGGTAGTGAAAAGTAAGCCCAGGTCAGACATGTCAAGCTGAACTTGGCTACGTGATAATGACTGTAGGCAGGTGACAAATTTCTGCTTTGCCAATCGATGGGGCTGTTTAAATAAAACCACATTGCTTGCTGTGCAAGCCTCTCAACTGTACTAGCAGCACATCTCTACACTGGAACTGAATTATTTGATTGCCAACACCACTCTCCCATGTTCTCCCATGACCTTGTCCCCAACACTTCCTATAAACTGAATTCTCTCTACTCAGAGGAGAGAGAGAAGCAAACAAGAGAGCTGGGTTTAAGTGCTCAGCATCGCTTCCTTACTCACCAAGGTACAGGACATTCAGGACACGGAAATAATACCCAAGGCACAGCTCTCTATTATTAAACATCTATACTGCAGGCCCACCTAGTGTCCTCAAGCAAGTCTGGACCTCACTGTGCTCAGTACTATGCTAACGTAAGTCAATGCCAATATTCTGGCATATTGCTGGTCTATGGAAAGTACCTGAGCATTGGACACAGGCTTTTCTACAGCACTGCAGGTGCTTCCACTAGGATCAAGGACTAGCAGAGATAACCCAACCAGCAGACAGAAGTGAGGCATCCTTTTGAGGCAAAGCCTTCTGCTGGCCTCAGCCTCAACTTGATTGTCGGGTACTAAAGGTTATGAACAACAGCTCTATTCAAAGGATCTGAAGCTAGGAAGGCCCAAGCAGCTCTATAATGTTACCAAAAGAGGTAGGAACAGCCAGACTTAAGGTCGGGGAATGTAAATTCAATCAGGAATCACGGGCAGGAAACCCCATCTTAAAGTTAGGGAAACTGAGACAAGAGTCATTAAATATAAGAGAAAGTCAAAAGCAGATCCAAGACTAAAATGAAGTGTATTCCTGTGCCCAGTTCCCAATTCCTTTGCTCTCCTACAGACTGTGCTGCTTCTGCTACAGATTTATAAAGGGAGTTTCACAGTGGCAACTTTTGTTAAACATGCCCCAAAGTCAATGCTGTGCACGAGCTAGACAAGAAGTAGCCAACCAGCAAGTGGCACGGGCCGCCTGCGTGCGAGGTACACAGTAAATTGGGGAGGGGAGAGATGGCGCAGCGGCAGATTTGGCAGGGGAGAGGGATCAGAGTGGCACTCAAGAAGACTGCAAGGGTGATTTGTGGCATGCCTGCCAAAAGGGTTGGCCGTCACTGGGTTAGATCCACAATTTCAAAACATGCCTGCAATTCTGAGTGTGCAGACCACAAGAGTTAAGCCTGGTTTTCAAGCAGATTAAAAGAAGCCTGATTTTCTCCTCCTTGTCCCAAACACAAGGAACCTATTCAACAGCGAGTTCTCAGAATCCAGGCACCATTTTCCTACCAGCTAAGTGAAGCATGTACAAGTTTTGGGCCATCACAGAAAATGAGGGTTGGAAGGGACCTCAGGAGGTCACATCTAGTCCAAACCCCTGCTCAAAGCAGGACCAGACGTACCTAGATCATCCCAGCCAAGACTTTGTCTAGCCTGATCTTAAAAACCTCCAAGGATGGAGAGTCCACCACCTCTCTGGGGAACCTGTTCCAGTGCTTTACACTGCCTCCTCATTTCTAACAAACTTCCCTTGAGACCATTGCTCCTTGTTCCGTCATCTGCCACCACCAAGAACATCCTCTTTGAACCCCCCTTCAGGGCGTTGAAGACTGCTATTAAATCCCTCCCTAAGTCTTCTCTTCTCCAGACTGAATAAACCTAGTTCCCTCAGCCTCTCCTCTTAAGTCCTGTGCCCCAGTCCCTGAATCATTTTCACTGCCCTCCGCTGAACTCTCTCCAATTAATCTACATCACATCTGGGTAGTGCGAGACGCACAACTGGATACAGTACTCCAGATGTGGCCTCACCCATGCCAAATAGAGGGGACGAATCACTTCCCTCCATTTGCTGGCAACGCTTCTACTAATGCAGCCCAATACGCTGTTAGCCTTCTTGGCAGCAAGGTCATGCTATTGGGTCGTTAGGGCACACTGCTGGCTCATCATGCTATGTTAATGACCATCTCTAGCAATTTTTCCACGCATGAAAAGCCAGTCTGTACACGGCTGTAACCTACACACACAACTGGATTCTGCATAGCCATATGCACTCACCCTCATCACTTGATGCCTCCTGCTTAACCACTGAGAGAGGGGAACGGGTTGGTGGTTTGCCTAGTGGATGGCGGCGACTTTTCTTTATCTCCATCTTCATCTTTGAGAAAGCAGCAGCAGTCTGAAATAAATTAGAATAAATTACATAAAAATCCCGAGTCTTACAGGGAAAGCAGAGCAGCAGAAGCAAAATGCAGTTAACTTCTCAGGCATTTAGCCCACACAAGAAACTCCTTGCTGCATTTGGCAAGGATCGACAAGGACCTCTCCAAAAAAGCAAATGCGATAGAGAACGCCAACACCATCTCATAAAATCATGCCAGGCTAAAAGGTGGGTTACAATGTTTTTCTCTTAACCGGGGTAGATTCAGAGCCAGCCCAAGTCTGCCACTTCTACTAGTCTGAATGATTCGGTCAGCATTTCTGCTGAAAACCTCCATGTAAAAGAAAATCTACTTTGGATTGGAGTTTCTGCTTCGGCACTATAAAAACCTGGGAGCGAATAACCAGAATATCTAAACTGAATAAAATCTGCAGGTTGAGATGCTGAAGTTATTGCAGGGAAATCTGCTCCTCTTCTCCATTCCCTGGCTGAGAAGACTTGTCTTTGCAGATGCGTGCGTGCATGAACACGCAGAACCTAACACAATTAATTTCTGCCATCCACTACAGAGGACACCAACGCTTTGTCTGCACTAGAGAAAACAACTGAAAATTAACGCTCCTTCATTTGTGGGAAGTGCTCTTTTGTATCAATAGAGTTGGTATGCTGCAGCCTGGTGATGATTCAGGAAATCCAGGAAAGGCAAGGGGGTTTCTATGGGCCACTGCAGAGGTGAGAAGTAGTTAAACAAAATGTATTGCATGTAACGTTACATTTGAAACAATGCTAATGCAATTAAACTAGACACCCCACCCACTGCTCTACATAGCAGTCACCAGTGCATCAGCCACTGCAGAACTGGCTTCTGTGGTCACCTTTCTGCATGCTACTGGGCACAAGTTTGCTTTGCCAGCAGTCACCCACCCACAGAAAACTAGGGTTTCACAGACTCTGTTACAAGCCATTTTTAGAACAGCGATCAAACAACTTTAGATAGAGTGATTCATCTCAAAATTAACTGCAATGATTTGGTTTTCTATTGCCTAGTCTCTGGTTGATTTGCACTTCCCCTTCACCTTGTGGGGAATCAGCAGGGCTCAAGCAACAGGCAACACAATGCAGGAATGTCAAGTTTGCTTAAACGCTAACCCCGTCGGCATCAGATCACCATAAACTCAAGGGCAGTAGAAGGGACTTCAAACAAAGGACAATAAAAGCCAACGGGCACCACTCTACCCAGGAACTGTACAAGATCTTTAGCACAGAGTCCTCTGTCCTAAACCAACCTGTTTATAGACGGCACCAGGGTTCTGAAACAAAAGAAAGAGATCTGCTGAGATGACAATGACAGCCAGAACACAAACTCAGCACATGGTAGATGAGCTGGCCTATCTGCAGCACCATTTTCAGTGATGGCAACATACACATGGGGGATAGGGTTGGCCTTGCAAGATGATAACTAACAAGGATCGACCCTCCATAGCTGGCACCAACTAAGACCCCTTCACAGTAGTTTGGGGAACATACTTGGGATCCACGTGGCCGCTGCCACTAGCATTTATAAAAAGGCAGCTACAGCTACGACAGTGGAAGCATCTATATCACATCCACTGCTCTGTCATCTCTACCCACTTCCTAAACATGACCTTGCTGGCACGTACCTGTAAATCGCTGGCCTCTGTGGCAACCTCAGCATTTTCAGCTTCTGCACTCTCCTCTTCCTTCACGGGAAGCTCTCCAGGAACAGCCTGCTCCCGCCAACCCAGGCCCTTCTGCGTGGCGAACTGCTCAAAGGCCTGCTGGCAGGACATGCGCTCTTTGTCAAACACCACCTTTTTGGTCCGCGGAACCACATAAAGCATGGGAATGATGGGCCGGGGCTTAAAGTCATCTACCTCGTTTGGCACTTCCGAGGGCTGGATGATGTTGAGGGGCACGGGGGGTAAGCTCTTCTCGGCTGTGGCTGCTGCTGCTACGGGGACCAGCGGCCGTGCTGGTGGTGTCTCTTCCTCTGCGGGCTGCTGTGGCGGTGGAGGAGGGGGAGGTGGAGGCGGTGGTGGAGGCTGCTGTTGCTGCAGTGGAGGTGGGGGTGACTGCAGGTGGTGGTGGTGGTGGTGGTGGTGATGGTGAGGATGGTGGTGCTGATGGAGGTGATTCTTCTTCCTCCTCTCCCCTTTTACTTTTGGAGGACGGGTCTTTACCTTGCAGTCTCCTGTTTCAAGTAAATGACAAGATTGAACAGATCATGCTGAAGTTTCTGGACACTTCCTTTCATTAATTACTCCCCGTTACAAATGAGATCAGGGTTGACTAAAGGTGCCAAACTAACAAGATAAGCAGCAGAAACTTGCATGAAATAGGTACAGCACACTGGCTGTGCAAGAAGTCTTTCACTCACTCTCTGCTCGGACTCAGAAAATCCATTTCTAGAAATTAGGCTTATTTTGTCCCTGTGGCCTATTCAAACCTTGACCTGTCTGCTAAGCCCACCTACATGAAGGTCAGGTGTGACAGAAGACAGCTGTCCACTGCAAACTAGATGGAGAGGATCACGGCACGTACTACATTAACATTGCTAAGACACACAATTCTTAGTCACCCAGGTAGGCAGAAACACTGACGCCCCAGAGTCCAAGATGACTGAGTTACAGCACTTGACCAGAAGATTAAGGAAGTCATCGCATCTTCTCCTAGGCAATAGCAAAGGGCTTCTCATTTGCTTTACTATTCAGCGAGGATAGCAATAGTTAGGAAAAGCCAATGTACCCCCTAAGAAGTCCTCCCCATACATTTCAATTCTTACATCTGAGCATTTCAACTCACTTCTTTGCACCTTAAGAAAATCTACCTGGGAAACATGTCTGTTTGCCCTTAAAATCACACAATCAAGTCAAACGCGAGTCTAGACCACTTCCTTAACGACAGGGTCACAACTCTCGAGGCGAACACACAATGCTGCACTGGCACACTGAAACGAGGAGCCCAATCTGTATTCAGAAGATCTCTATATCCCGTTTTATACCCTTACCCCACCCAAGCCACCTTCATTTACTGCTCCCCCCACATCCAAGCACTGCTGTACGCAAGTGTTACTGCATATCCAATGCAGTCAACAACCCTGGGAAATGAAGAATTGAACCAAACCTTCTAAATCACTTTTTACCGAATAGCATCTACTGCAAGGTCTTTAGAAAGTGGCCTTTAAAACATGAATCAAGCGCAGCACTGAACCAAGTCTATTATAGGCACCATCTCGGTATTGGCGACTGCAATGCGAGTTTCCATCGCTTGCTTTCACCTGTCCTTCCCCCTCCCGGCTCACCACCATTCATTTTATCTGCATACTGTCACATCTCTCTTGCACAGTGGTGACAGCACGCAAACTTCTTGGGCAGATAAATGCCCCAGTATTTTTTTATTGAGATGGGGATCACCCATAAAACAGAAAGACCTTTTCTCCTCTCTCCCTACCAGCCCTCCCAATATAACCCCGTAAAATAACCGGGCCAATTTGATTTCAGAACGTCCCCCAACCATCATGATTAAAATTCCTGCGGGCCCTTGAGTAAGCATCGCTGGGTCAGGATGGGAGACGCCTTGCCTGTTTCCCTTATTGCACTGGCAGTGAATTATGTTCCCTATGCCCACCCCTTCCCCCACACTTCATGAATAAAGTTATCAGTCCACTCAAAGGAAAGTAAATAATAGATGTACCACAGACAGATGCCAGCCCTCAATTTGTTTCATAAGAGATTGTTTTTCACCTATAGATGCGGCGATTGGATGGCTCTACTGCAAAAGGTCACTCTGTCCACTAATAAGATGGGGAGAGAGGAGGGGGCGGGAGGGCTGATGATGCAGAAGGAGACAGACGGACAATGTCGCTCCACTACACCCCAGCTCCATCTGCCACTAAGGCCTAGCAAATCTTATAGGCCAGGCTCCACGCACTGCAGAAAATCAGATCGCCTACCACGACATAATGCGATACTCAGTAAAAGTGATTATACCCCGAGTAAGATGAAGTGCTAGAATCCCTGCTGAAGTGCTGTTGGGGGGAAAGAGCTGAATCTGGACAGTTCCCAGAAGTGCGATCGGAGGGTCTTATTCATACTAATTTATAGCAAAAAAAAAATTTTAAAAATGGCAATAAGGCTGGCCCAAATAGTTATTGTCGCATTTGTGTAAGCCACACTTTGGGTAAACTGGTTTGTAGTATGGCACAGACAGGAATATTGAATTTCCTTGGAGAAACAAACATATTGAATGAAAGTCAAATTGGATTTCTCCCCAGTCACACAACAACAGATCATATTTACTCTCTACACACTCGGCGAGCTCTCTACCCAAACAGCAAAGCAAACGCCATTCACTGGCTTTATTGACTTCTAAATGGGCTAATTTGACAGCAGCTGGTAGCCAAGACTTGTTTAAAAGTTTAAGTGCTTTGATGATGAAAGATCTACTTTACAGGTATATCTGTAAAACGTGATAGACATACAAAGCCGGGCTCCAGGGAAACGGTGAGGACAGATCTGAAGGAGAAGTCTGGCCATCGTGATTGCCTAGACATGTAGAGAAGCGCCTTACTCTTTATTAAATAAGCTTACCCTGTATGGCAGGTTAGCAGGACCACAGGCAGCTATTTACTGATGATCTGAACAGCATGACAAATATCTATAGAAAATAGTTTAGAAATGGAGAGATGGTTTTGGCTTTATATACAGAGACTGTCTGGGGTGGGGGCAGTTTGCAACTATACATCAATTTTCATGGAGGCTGCAGGTGGCCAGTACCTCTGGAAAAACCACTTATGCAGAAGCAGAGTAACTTTAAACATCCAGCTTTAAAACCACTGCTCACAGAGAGCAGAGATTTCACCTGTTGCTACAGCAAAGCTACAGGCTCAAGTGTCAGCACTCGCAGAGAAGATAAGGGATAGAAATTAACAGCAGCAATTAAGCAAACTTCAGTTGAATAATTTGTATTGTCGATGGTTTAGAAAGTAAGGGATTGTAAAACAGACCTGTTAATCTAGCAGCAGAGTGATCATGGATGCAGAAGAGAAATCGAAGCTGGGAGAAACCTAGCAGGTCCAGCTCCGGAGCACCCCCAGCCCCTAAAATGGCACAGCTCTCTGGAGTGGGTTTCTAGCAGTTGGTCCAATCCATCTCATGCATTTCAAGCACTAGGGCTTTTCCCATCCACAGGAAACGCTATGCTACAATCTAAGAGACACGTGAATAATTCTACTGTCACAACACTTTTCTTAATATTCATCGTATATTTTCACTGTCTGAATGTCATCCCATTACCCCCATAGTACAATGCTGGCCCTAGGCGAATGAGCCCTACTCCTCAGATCTCCTTTCCTGGCACCATATCCCAAAAAGGCACAAGACAAGATGGTTCACAGGCGTGAATTCAAATGCAACACACAACCGGGTCTGTAGCGGCTGCATTTAAAGTGGTACAAGATACAACACACACACAGCCATTACAAGGAGCACCCATTGCTACATGGGTTGCATTCACGCTGTTCAATGCTTTCAGAGAGAAGAGCTGGAAGGCTCTCCCTGGAAATTTCTAGTCCCAAGGCAACCTGCTAAGAAATTCTCTCCGCATTAATACCGGCATGCTAAATTATGAACACAAAGCTTAGTCAGAAAAGGCAAAAAAGAAAACGCTGTAAAGTATCTGGTGAGAAGCCCTTAAAGCTTCAGTCATTAATATTCAGCAAGTCCAAATCAACAACATGGAACACACTTAATTCTTGAAAGCTGCCAGTGATTTCGGAAGGATCACGCACTTCCTCCTCCCAGCACCCTTTGGTCTTCTTTTCTGGGATAAGTGGGAAACCCCTTTTAAGGAAAGGTGAAACCCAAGGTAAAATGAAAGGAGAGGGGGAAGGAGGAGGGAAGATAACGTGCAATTTGGAGATATGCTGCCAGGTGCTATCTGCAGACTTGCAAACTAAAAAGCGGTTAGTAGAAAGCCGTAAATAGCTTGAGGAAAAGAATGCAGATTCTGCCTCGGCCTTCGAGGAGACGACCAAAACCACTTCTGCCTAGCTTTTCCCATACTGCCCGGAGAAAACAGCCCATTCCTGATGGGCCTTATCAGCAGCGGGGCTTGCAGAACTGCACTGAACACCATACAGCCGCTCGTCGCACTTTCTGCAATGGTGCTGAAAATGGGTTTGTCCCTTCTCTGCTACCAGTTAAGCAGTTTTCCACATCAGGACTAAGTGTGTGATTTAAAATCTGTTCAGCTAGAACAAAGCTATTCTTTTCTCCCCTCTTCCAGTCTAAGGATCTCAGATCTGTCCCTGCCACTTATCTCTTGCCTCCCAGGAGATATCAGCATTTTCAGACCATTTATTACAGCAGTAACTGTTAAACTCATACGCGAGCTGAGAGTGTAGTTTAATGCACTGCTGGCACTTTCAAGATGGAGTGATAGCAAGTAACTGTTCTCCTGTGCTGTTCCTTCTCCATGTGCCAATAATTGAGGTCCCTTCCGACCCTAACATCTATGAATCTATGAATCTACATATCCTCATCTCCCTTGAAGGCGGAAGGCACGTTGTCTAGTTGATAGATCGCTGGACTGAGTCAGGAAACTGGGTTATGTTCCAAAGACACATGGTATGACCTTATGTGCCACGACCTTTAAACTTTGCCTGCCTCGGTTTCCCCCAGACATAATTTGGGAACAAAGGGGTATAATAGGATATGAATATTAGTGAACCAATGGTTTGGAATGCCTCAAAGGGAAGGTATCGATGTGCAGGTTATTCTCTGCACTGTATATAGTGCAAAAAGGCATAGGAAGCAAGAATTACAGTCTTCAATACAGTGCTAAGAGGCAGAGCATCCTAGTGACATCACAGAGCCTCTCTACTGGGAAGAGCTACAGATCTCTGCATGGTGACAAAGGCTTGGTTCTTCAGCAGCACGTACCAAAATATGTTGTATCATACCTGGGGAGAAACTACAACATACCCGTCGCAAACCAGGACATGCCCTGATCTACGACAAGCCTTTTTTATACTTCGCTCTTCGCATGGTGCCTTTCATCTAACGCTCAAAGCGCTTTGCAAACTCCACTCAGACTCGTCCTAGAAGGTTAATAAGTACCACGGCCGGGCCAAAGCCGTGCGAACAAGCGGAGAGGTGTTGTGTGATCTGCTGAAGGTCAGACCATAATTCAATAGTGGATTTAAGAAACAGTCCCACGTTAACTCCCAATCCATACGCCACTTAGAAACCTCCTTTCTTTAAGTGAAGTGCAGGACCTGTGCTAGATTTGTGCACACACAATAAATTATACACGCACAGTGGGGCTGCCACAGACTTGTGCTAGTTCAAGCACTCAAAGCCAAATCTGAAGTCTCTCCTCCAGCAGAATGACTGGGGGGGACGGATTCAGTCAAATTTCTACTCCTATTTGTACAGCAAGTGAAAACTTCACATACGCAAAAGATAGCTTTATGCAGAGAAGGAGGGAGAGGGGAGAGATCTATTGCCCGTGGGAATATACAAGGCATGCCGTTCCCAGAGAAGGGCACAGCAAATGTATTTATTCATTCCTTTATGAAATATTTAAAAAAAAAATATTCCTCCCGTAATGTATATTTTTACAAAACTGTAACAGCTCTGGCAAAACTTCCAAGCCCTGCACAGAAAGCTATTTGGCCTGAATTCTTAAAGAGAGGGGAAAAAAAATCAATCGTGTCTGTAAATGATGGCGTATTTCAGTAAGTACAGGTTTAATATTGGGAAAGAGGCCACCGGTCTTTCCGCGGGAATAAACACCATCCGCGGGAATAAACACCACTCGACAAGTTATTTACAAATACGTTCTGGAGACGCCGCTTGCCCCATTTCTCTGTTTAAATGATCCGTCAGCAGCAAGCAAGGTCCTCACCTTCTCCCCCTTCCGTCGCTTTGCTTTTTTCCTCTTCATCTAGGTCTGGCCCTCTTTTCAGCTCCTCTTTTACTTTCACCTCATCCAAGACAGTCTCGATAGCCATCACTTCTCCGAGGGACTTCTGATCCTCCGTTTTATGCCTTCTGGGTTGGCTTCTTTTCCTGTGAGACCTGGAAGGGCAGAGTAAGGATCTCCACTAAGGAACAGCCCTGAGTTTTTAAAACCAATCACACGTCCTAAAAGAACTCAACATTGAAATCAAGGACCAACTTGGGAGAAAGAACAAAAGCTACCTAGCAATGTCCTACGCCATTGCAGAGGCGGAATAGACATCTTAGAGGAGACGGGCAAGCCAGATGCAGACCGTCTAAGATTCATTCCCAACATCCAGGAAAGAATATTAGAAGTTTAGTTCTCTCTGAGGTCTGCACAAAGATGTGCACCAGTGCTAACACAAATTGCCTGTGCTATGCAAACCTTTGATAGAAGCAAGCAAAAACATGCTACCCTCTCCTCCTTCCCTTTCTAGGTGCCTCGGCCTCTCCAGAGAAGTCTGATACTCTGCCAAGGAGCGTGTTCCAGCTCTCGGGCATCATCAAGTGCTGCCACATTTTTGGCTTAGGCCATTCGCTAGTCAATACAGGTAGCCTGTGCCTTTCTGAGCAGATAATGTCACCGTAACATAATTCAGTAAGACAAAGAGTGACCCAAAGACTAATAAGGGCAGGTGTTAGTGTCATATTGACACTCAAGACGTAGCAAAACACCACCCTTAATGACTGTGATTTTGAACAACACTGATCAAATCCAAAGTGAGAAAACTACAGAGAGCAGCACCCAGGATGATGGCAAGGGAGATCCACTGAAGCGAGGGAGCCCTTCCAAGTTAGGAGCCACTTGTACATTTTAATCTAGTTTTAAGAATGCCATGGTCAAGTAAATATCTGAACTCTGGGTCCAGGGTAAATGAAACCCTTTATCAGCAGAGATGGATTCAGAAAACTGCAACTTTCATCCTCGTTTTTAGCATGCAGCGATTTTTTTTTTTGGAAAGCAGCAACTTCCATATGGTGTCCACATTCTGTGCCATTACATCTGCCGCAGCATAACGAGGGAATGCTGTGCCATCCTCTACCACTTCTCTGCCCCAGATTCCTAGGGAGCTGGAATCCAGCTTCACACCCTCCGCACCCATCTAGAAACTCAGCTCCTAATTAGGTCTGGAGTAGAATGAAGTTAACAGACCCCTTAATGAAGCAACAAACCAAATATGTGTGGGGGAGGAACCCAACGACCTGCAAACTAATGAATGATTAATAGAGAAGAAAAGTTAATTCACAAGCATGGTAATTTATAATTGCTAGACTCTAACCATATGGTTGCCCTAAGTATAGATGTTTACTTCACACCTGCAAGCCATTCATTAGCAGGCACACACAGCTGAACTGAGAAGCATCAGCTTTTCTCCCCACCAAGGTCCTAAAGATGCACCACCTTTACAGAAGCAAGGCGAGCAAACACAGCTTTTCTTTAAACTTTCTGTAGTCGGTAAAGAAACTAGAGTAAGATCCAGTGTTGGAGGCTATTTTTAATAAAGGAAATACTTTACTCCTGTTATCCACAAGCAGAGCACAAAGGTTTAAACTTGTAAGAGGTGCAAGGGAACCTCTCCAGTGCCGCAATCGTTCTGAAGCTGAAGGGATCGCAGCAGGAAGGAGAGGGAGCACCCAACAGGTGAAGCTGCATTTCTAGAGCTACAAGTACATGGATCCATGGTAGTAGAAAGAGGAGATGATGCTCCCTTGCTTGGGCATGACTGCAATATGAAAAATGGGCTGACTCCCTGTCAAGTGGAATCAAGGCTTTTGGCCAAGGCCATGGGCAGAGTTAATCTATACTGCCTTATTAAGTTAAGGCAAGCTTCCTATGAGTCCAAATATCTTGCAGAAGCAGATGCTTTAAAAATTAAGGATTTGGTAAATGAAAACCCCAAAAAGGCACCACCACTTCGTGTTTTACAACAGAATGCAAAGTGGCCTAACAGAAGTAGTTAAAATCACGAAGAGTTTTGGACAAACACAAACCAAACAAGATAAACCTCAGCCTGGCGAGGGAAGTCAGAGTGCTCAGGCAGAATTATTTAATTCCAAGAGCTGTAAACATATGGAGAATGTGGCTAACTGAGGCCATCGAACCAAGGAACGTATACGTGTTCAACAGCTTGAAACCTGCTTCAGGGCAATTCTGGAATAATCTAGGAAGCACTGAGCAGAGCAGACTCCAGCAGACGAGCAGACAGGCCTTTTACAATAGTCAAGATTAACAAAGGGACTTCGCTGCTAAGCAATAAGCTTCTCAAGAGACAGAAAACCGCACTGTGTATTCACAAGGGGTTTTACACCTTCATATGCTACCAGGACACGAAGTAACCGACTCTCTTGGAAAGCAAATGTCATCCCTAATCCTCAGGCACAGGAAACAGAGGGTAAGTAACCTGCTGCAGGTCGGCGAGGCGGGCACAGGCCAGAATTGAACCCCTGCCCTCCAGGAGACCCAGATCCTACTGCCTTTCCTGAAGCTTGCAGGGGGAAGAAAGACTGAAATTATTTCAGGAAGAACAGCTCTGAAATAAAGCAGTATTTTAGGATCTTCCTATCCATGGAGGAGGCAGTGAGAGACGCCGCTCCCTGCCTCCAGCTCTAACGTAACAGACCTACGCTTCATGGCATGTAGGAAAATGGGGTGCGTAAATGAGGCAAAGCTACGTCAAGGTACTGATGACCACGTGGAGCTCTGCTAATGAAGAGCCATACCAGGTCGGCAATCTTTTTGGCTGGAGTGCCAAACACACCCCAACCTTAACCCATGCCTTGACTTGGCGTGCCAGAGGCAGACAGCAGGGGAGCCGTGTGGGACCCAATCCTCATTCCTGGTGGCGGGTGCATGCATGCCTGCAGGTGGATAGCAGGGAAGGGGCTGGGGTTGCACTGGCCTGGCCCCTTCCCCGCTGTGCACAGAGGCACAAGTGCATCCACCGCCCCCGCAGAGCCAGTGCTGGGGCTTATGGAGACTGGGACAGCTGTTTGGAGCCTGCCTGCTGCAGCTGCCCAGAGCTCGGGCCAGCTGTGGCAGGCAAGCAGCTGCACCGGGTCCATGCCTCGGGGTGCATGGCCAGGAAGGGGTGTGGGACAGCGCTGTCTCGGTCCCTTTCCTGCCGCCCACCTGGAGACGCACATGCAGCCACTGCCGCTGAGCCCAATCGGTTTCCAGACTCTGGCGTGGTTGTTTGCAGACTCCCAGCTGCCCGCCACAGCCAGCCCAGGCTCTGGACAGCTGCTGCCTGCCACAAAGCACCGGCTGCATGCAGCAGGGTTTGCAGCCTCCCAGTTGCCTGCTGCGAGCAGCCCAGGCTCTGTGGCCAGCAGTAGCTGCCCAAAGCCCCAGCTGGCTGCGGCGTGCCGAGCGAAACGGCCTTGAGTGCCGTGCTCTGGCACATATGCCGGGAGTTGCCAACCCATAAGCTATAAACTCGTATCAACACGTGCAACCTCTTTCTTCCCGAGGTGCTGTAATACCCAGATTTAAGATATCAGGCATGTTTACCAGGTCTGCAGTTTTAAAGCACTCCTCAAGTGCCCTACTGAAGTTGGCCTCAGGTATGCAAAGTCAGCCTAACTCCTCATTCCAGTTTTAAGAACGTTATAGGCCTACTGGGATTATTGAAAATTAACACCGCCAACAGACTATTAAAATTTCAACTGAAATAAGGCCACCTGTGGAAAAGCTCCATCACCTAGATGAGAGGGGAACAAAATCAGCCTGTGCATTTGGAGCAAGTGTTGCAAAGGAAAAGCAGAAGAGAGGGGCAGAAAAACAGCACAGGCTTACCTTCCATGTGGGCAAATTGAAACTTCTATTGCAATTCAGTTGTGTCTTTATAAAGATTTTTCTTCTTAAAGCAAGCATGACGGAGGGAGAAATGGTTCTCTTTCCAGAACCTGTTTGCTTCATCTATTGGCAGCCCATTTATAAAACCTTCTAATCCAATTAAACTTTTTGGAATGCGGCAGCTGTTTATTGGCAACCCGCTCTGTTGACCAATTAGCTTTAGCCACAATCAATTAACCATTATGCAAATACCACATCTCGGCAGCATCTTCACTAGCCTAGGTTTATTCAGCACATCAGCTGCACATATAAGAAGAACGAGAATTAGTATGAGAGACATTTGGCTCCCAGAAAGCCTTTCGCCTGACACAGACAGAAATTAATACCGGTAAGAAATCAAGTGAAGGTTAAACAAAGGCGGCCTCACAAATCCCATGCCTGGATATCCTCCATGCCACTAGGAGAAGACATGAGTCAAATGCAGAATTCAAGACATAGGTTTGCAAGGATAAGAATGGTATTGTTAAAACAAGAGATGTAAATAAGCCAGAAAACTGTCTTTATATTTAATATAGCTATTTACCCACAAGTATAAGGGAGTAGGAGAAGAGTTACTGTTAAGAGCAGAAAACAACAATTAGTGTGCAGGGATAAATGACATACGGTCATTGGGACAAAAAGAGAAGAAGTCACTCATAGGATTTGGGAAATTGGCCCTCTGCTGTAACTAGAGGGCAAAAATCAGAAAGCTGAACAGGAAAATTGTCTTCCAATAAAACAGACTTAATTTTGATCAGATTATTCCTATTACTGTGCTAGTGAAATAGCAGGCAGCGCAGAAAAAACTGAACAACAGTAATCAAGCTCCTAGGAGTGTAGGATTGCTTTCTTGCACAGGTTGTTGAAAGATCTTCACAGTTGTAGGCCATTTTGAAGTGAATCCTGAATATAAATCCAGTGTGGCAAATAAAGTTGATGCTGACAACCACCTAAAATCTGAAATCACAATGAGCCCAGTTAAGTCCAGACATGTCAGCATTAAATGACCGGACAGGGATAGTCAAAATTATGAAGGGATTTGACAGAGTGAAATGAGAAGCTGTTCCCATACTAGGGAAAAGGATTTAAAAAACAGGGGACATTCAACATCAGGAAATTAGGAATGTGCCTGGAATTCAGGTCGCCCTATTTCTCCTTCAGAGAAGCGAACGCAAAGAGAATGTGATCTAATTGAGGCTCGAATCTGATTATATGGGTATTTATACTATGCTCATCACCAGAT